CCCTTCCCCTGGCCCACGTCCCGACCCAGCTCCTGTTCCCCCGCAGCCGCGGCCGTGGGGGCCGTGCCCGTGGTGCTGGGCGCCATGGGCTTCACCGGGGCGGGCATCGCCGCCTCGTCCCTAGCGGCCAAGATGATGTCCGCTGCCGCGGTCGCCAACGGGGGTGGAGTCGCCGCGGGCAGCCTGGTGGCTACGCTTCAGTCCGTGGGTAAGCACTGCTGTGGACAGGGCAGGGGAGAGGCGGGAGGGGGGAGGCAAGACAGCGGGGAGAGGAGCAGAGCCCGGAGGGCATTCACCCCAGAGGCAAGTCTGAAGGAGGGCTCAGATCCCTCCAGTTCCTTCGTTCTCAGCATCCCGGGCCCTTTGTCCCTCACTGCCCTCTTTCTGGGTCCTTCTGAGTGAGGTTTCGTGGGAGTGGAGGGGTCAGGGGGCGCTGGGAGAGAAAAGACGGGAAGGAGCCTGGGGTACAGCCCTACCCGAATCTGACATGCGGTCCCTCCCCCTCTGAGCCTCAGTGGCCTCCTGTGTAAGTTGAGGGGACCAGTTGCTCCCTGGGCCTTTGGCTGACTGTCCCCTGCCTCGGACTTCCCAAGACTCACCCCCTCTCTTAGCCACCTCCAGCATGGTCTCCCCAAAGTGGAACCTTGGGGGGGGGTTCGGAACCTAGTGGAGGGATCCAGTTATCTGGGCCTCAGACATGCAGAGGGGTCGGGGCCACCGGCCATTGCAGGTTCCTGCACTCACCCTCTGTCTCTTCCTCAGGGGCAGCTGGACTCTCAACGTCATCCAATATCCTTCTGGCCTCTGTCGGATCAGCCTTCGGAGCCTGGCTTGGAGGCTCCAATGAGGAACCTTCTTCCCCTCCCTCAGACGAACCCAAGTCTCCGCCAGACGAACCCAAGTCTCCCCCAGACGAACCCAAGTCTCCCCCAAACGATTCTGAGGCTGAAGGGGACGAACCAGAAGAAACTGAATCCCAAATTGAGCCTCCAAACCGCCCCCTCAGCTCAGAGAAGCAGGAGAAATAAAACTCATGTGCACATGCACCTCCCTGTCTGCGCTCCTTGCAGCCTGTTGGAGGTGGGGAGGGGTGGGGGATTGGAGTTTTTCGATTCACCCCCATCTTCCCCACCTGCCTTGTGGAGGGGCTGGGGGCAAGCTGACTAAGCACAGAATCATTTGGCAGGGGGCTTTGGTCTGTCCTAGTCTTACAAGCGATGAGTACATCCAGGCTGTATATACCCAGCGCCATTCTTTGGCCGCCTGTGGGCCTCAGTTTACCCCCTCATTCAATGATTGGGGTTGACCTAAGTTCCCATTGGGCAGCTGGGTGAGGAGCAGCCAGGGGACACATTGAGCCGCTGACCACAGACACTTTGCCCTTCCTTGTGTTCGGGCACTAGACACCCCGATATGAGCAAGGCACTGGCCCTTCCCTGCCTGACCTCGCAGTCCCGTGGGGAGGCTGACCCCAAATCACCAGGACAGCTTAGTGTGTTGAAGGTCACGGTGGGGCTCTGGGCACTTCCGGGTAAGGAGACTGAGGAATTGTCACTACGCTGTGTCTGGAAAAAGCTTCCAGTTCCTACCCCGCCGACAAGGGCTCTTGGTATCCCCTGTTTCCACTCCAGTCCAAAGTGAGGGCTTACTTCCGGCCAGAAAGGTCTC